CTTCATCATTACTTACCTGTCAAGCCAAGCCCTACTTAGTTACAGGAGTTATCATTTAATTTAAAAGGAGTGGAGAAGCTTGGCTCTGGAGTGATGCCAAATTTGTGAAGCTTGAGCGTGTTTTCTGATTTTTGTATTTTAAGTGTGCAGTGAGTATTGTGATTTCTCAGAGATGGTGTTTCAAGAAACACTAGATGGAATTTTTTTTTTTCTGAGACAGGTGGGGCTGCATGTCATGAAATTTTCATTGTGTAAGATGATGTAAGATGCAGTGAGGATGAGGCTGTTGTGCCCATATGTTAACGTGTGCTAAGTCTTCCCTTGCAGAAAGTTTGGCTACAGTGTAAAGAATGAAAATGCAGAGGAAATAAAAAAAGCAGCAGGGTCTCTTCGTAGAATTCCCCTTCTGTGGTGTATACAATGCAATACAGTGTCAATTTTTAGGCTAATTAATACTCTGCTCTTCTTGATAAATTGTGTGTTTTCATCTAGTGCTCCTTCACATTTTTCATTAGTACATTTTAATTCTTAATAGATTGCCTTCCAAACTAAAAAAAAAAAAAAAAAAAGTAAAAAAAATAATTAGGTGATGTAATGAAGAGTGTGCTGGTTACTCTATCTTCTTTGTATTCTTATATAACTCCTAAACAAAAGGATGAAATCCTGTTTGCCCTATTAATTCCTAGCTTATAAGTTGCAAGTTAAAAAGCCATTTATCCTGCATAGATATAAATAACAAGGGGTTCTTCAGTTGCACATGGCACAAGACTACTCCTTTTTTAAAAAAAAAAACCAAACTTGTATGATTGCATTAGAACACATTTTCAAATCCAAAACATGAAAATAAATCATGTTTTAATGGATTTTCATGAAAATAAATAATGGATATATTTTATTAAATAGTGTATTCTAACTTCTCTATGTACAAACATATTGCTGATACCAAATAATAGGATCATACTCTACTGTGACAGCACTTGCACATGCCTTCTGCTTTCAGACTTCCCAACCAAGCAAAAACATTGCAAAATATTTTTAATCTGTGCAATAGGAAGCAGTACTGATCTAACAAGACAGCAAGTCACAGGTTCCTGCCAAGTTATTTGCGTGCACTGAAAGCAACTAAAATCACCTGGAGACCTCATCTTGGATTCGAACTAGTTTCTGTTTTGTACTAAGGGCATTCTTGATGTGATTACTCAAAGAGGTTTCATAAAAGTTCTCTGTCCCTCTGGCTCCATATCTGTTGCTTTCTTCTCTATTTAGCTTTCTGCTGGAGAACCCACACCATCCCTGATGTCCGACTTGTGTGCTTAACCTCTTTTGCTCATGCACGCAGTCTACTGAATTCAGGTGGGATAACCATTGTGTCTGAGGTGAACAGGATTCAGCTGTAAGGGCAAGACAGAATTTACAAATGTTTTTGGAAAATAGATGCTATGTATGCTTAGTGTCAAAGTTTCTGACTTCAGTAGTACGTAAATCAGACCTCAAACATGCAGTTTTAGTTATGCTGCATGGTGGTTATTTAGTTCACTTGAAAAAGTTGTTTTTGCCATCTCCATCTTTTAGAACAGGGATAATGGATGACCAGAAAGATCACAGATATCACAAATTAGAAACAAACCCTCTCTTTTATTGAATTTTATACTGTTACACAATCAAAAAGAAATACAATCACAAGTATGTCAAAATGTTTCAAGAGAAATATCAATAGCAGTATGTTGTACTTGGTTCCAAAAAAGAATTCCATTAAAATATACCACTTCTTCATGAGAGAATACTGCTATTATTCACAAAATCTACCATACTGTATAAAGCCAGTAGCAAACTCTCTTTAAGTTTTTGGTAACCTGCTCAAGGTAAACAGGGAAGCAGAAAGAAAATGACAACTTGTTACTAGAATTTGGATCAAAAAAAATCACAGTTCTCCAGAATGGAGCTTTCCAGGTAATCAAGTGCCTAAATTGCTAATGGTATTTTTAATGAAAGCTAGATACCCAACTGACACAAATTCCTATGAAAATAATCTTCCTACAAAGTACTCCTGGCCTGTGAAACATTTATTTTCACGCTGGACAATTACAGTTTGAATAATGTGCGTAAGTGCAGTGACATTTGAGTGAGATGTGTGCTCTGTTCCATAGCAGCTAATCAGCAGGGATGGGAACAGATGGGTGACCTCAGGGACATCCCGCCTGGTTGGTTCTTGCCCCTCACAGCTCCCACAGCACTGTTCATCAAAGGAAACAGTTCGTTCAGCAGCGTAACAGGAGAGAAAGCTTGCCGACAGATACTGGTGAAACAGCCCATGCTTCTGCCTTTAGCTACCACTGTTTAGCTGTTTAATTAAACAGCTTTTTTAAATAATGAAAAATTACTATTAAGTATGCAGTAGTTTAACCTGTCATCAGACTTTTTGTGATTGTACAGTTGTATTTCATTGGAAGCAGAGCTGAGCAATTCATCCAAAAAAAGCTTTGAAGTGTTTACATATAACACTGGTGACAATTTAAAAGTTTTAATTGTTCTTTCTGGCCTTAATCTGTTATTCTTTAACTCAGCAATTACTTAGGCAGAGGTTAACATGTGTATGCAGATACACAGGAAAGGAAACTCAGTAGTAAATTGTTTCTGTTTCACCCAAAGGTTTTCAAAGATCAACATAGTTCAAACCTATCTCACTACATGGTATGTTAGAAAGGTGCACTTTGGACCCCAGGCTACCTTAATTTACTCAGTATATTACGTCTGAGATTGAGCTACTGGACAGCAGACTTGGGAGCTACAGCTGTAGTTAACTATTACTACTTTCAGGTAAAGGAATGAATGATGTCATCATAAATACTAGTTTAAAAATTCCTTTACCTTTTAACAAAACCATCACTGTTGTTGATAAAAACATCAATTAGAATTTATACGTAAAAATAATAATTGTGCTATGCCATGAAGGGGGCATGGCTTGACTACTACTGTAGTCACGATAACCTTCTGGAAGCTAACTTTGTTACTCTACTCAGTTTATCATTTACACATAATCTCGCATTGCTCATATGGAGAAGGAAACACTGTATCTACCTACAGTTTCTTCTTTATTACTGGCAAAGACTAAGTTCTCTAAGGTAGTGCTTCAACATTTTAAAAGGTGAGCAAGTCAGCAAAGAAATAATGTATTCTAGAAGCTTGCCGTCCAAAGTAGGCTTAGAATCAGGCTATGGATTCCTAGAGGCTAAGCAAAAAAAAAAAAGAAAAAAACAAACAAAAAAAAAAAAGCAGCTAAAAGATGTACTACATTTTGCAAACTCACATCTGCATTTAGCAAAGCTCTAAAAAAAAAAAGAAAAAAAAAAAAAAAAAAAAAACAAAAAAACAAAAAAAAAGCGGCTAAAAGATGTACTTCTACATTTTGCAAACTCACATCTGCATTTAGCAAAGCTCTTACAAGGCCAGAGCAATTACTGTTACTTTTCCATGCTTTCTTCAGTGTCTCTAGGAAGTCTGGTGGGTTTTCTTTCCTAGAGTAAACCAATACAGCTACTGCAGTTCATTCCTTTAATTGCTTGTTTCAGTCACTTTTACCAGGACAGTAAACAAAATGCTATGCCTTATTATGTATAATAAAAAATGTGAGAGCTGGGAAGATTCTTAGATGAAACACAGCTCACTTAAATCCACAGCTGCTGTCATTATGACCAGAGATGATTCCAGCAGGCTCATAACCATAAATCATGTGGGTCACTTAAGTTTTCCTCCTCTTTTTAACATGGGGTTTTCGCCATGAAAATTTACTGCCCTCTTAAAGTACACTGAAAAGGAACTGACAGATCCAAACCAGTCAGGCTCCTCCAAAGTAAGGTCAAGAGTAGCAGAACAACATCAAGCAGGATGGTATGAAGTTTCTCTTGGGAGAGATGAGAAGGGATAACCCACCAGGCCAGCTCAAAGCTTGCTGGGGCAGTAAGAAAAGCAGAACCCACTCGTACCTTTCGCACATCTACAAGACTCTCCTCACTATCACACAGAATTATGTCAATCCGTGCAGAGCTAAGCATGAGGGATGCCTGTAACAGCTGATGCTTTATCTAAGCCTTTAGCAAGTTCACTATTAAACCTTTTAACTGCTGACAGAGATACCATGGGAAGAATGCCATCCAAAAGACCTCACACAGCAGGCAGACAGTAGCTCTGCTGCATTTATCCAGAGAATTTTATAAGCTTTGTACACTTAATATTCACTTTAATATTCAGTATCAGGTGTATATATTCAAAATGTTCTCCGCACAAAGCTTCAACTCTAGCTTAGTGCACCTACACGTTTTCCTCCCCTCTTTGGACAACTTCTACACAAAACTTGCAGCCACCTTCTGCTACCAGTGCCTTATTTTATTTTTATTTTTTTTTTCAGTTGGGAGCTGATAGTCTCCATCTAGTTTAATACAGTTGTGCCAGTTTGGAAAGTGCTCTTTTCAGTGAAACAGTAACAGTAATTTTAGAAAACAAGTTAAGCTTATGTACCATTATATTGATTTCAAAAGACTCAAGAGTCCAATGAAACCAACATTTCCAAAATAAAACCAAAATAATTCTCGTGACACTCCATATTTGATTTCTTACATTGAGATAAGCTTTTTTTAAAGTAGGTTGAAGAATGCACAGAATATCTTGACCATATTTACACATTACAAGGTTGTATCAGTCACGTTGTGTTTTATGACAGCAAAATGAGAAGTCACCTGGTCAAAGTTAGAGTCAACAGCACAAGAATGTAGAACAAGCTTTATCATCAATTACCAGCTTAATATTGTAATTACGCAGTTTTGCGAGAAAAATCCATCTTTAACTGATCACTCCTGTGAATTTTAATTTTTCCTGCTTTCCAGTGTTACCTTGATAAAGCTTCCAGAGACAAGCCTTTAAGCTATTTGTAAGGAAGAGTCTTTCCCCTCTAAAGTAACACAAATATGCTGTCTCCTCACTTTCAAGTTTGCTAACTGGTGTGATAACAGATTTAAAAGTTTAACATCTTTGGCGAGCGGTAGTACAACACTGTCTAGGAGACTTCAGTACTGAATAGGCTCAAATAATTAACACAGAGATGTTACAATCAAAATAAGGAAGCGGTGATTTCCAATCAACTCTAAGTTAAAAAGGGAACACGGAGGAACAACAACCACTAACAAAAATATAAATTATCTCGTTTCTCCCAGATAACACACTCCCCAAGAGGGCCTGGTCCACATATAGTTTATTGATGTAAGAAAACAATACAGTTAGTGTTAGATCCAACCACAAAGAGCAAAAGAATGAGTGAATGAAGGTTTTGTACAGTACGTATAGGAAAATAAGATGTTTGTGACAACTATGTATTTCTAAATAAAAAGGCTTCTAAATATATTCAAGTTACTGAAATCTACATGAAAACATGGATGTTAATAGCAACAAGGTGCATAAAACCAAAACATCAAAATATTGAGCAACTCAATGATGTACTAGATAAAACTTTGCTAACAATGCAAGATGTTTTACAGTCTGCTTGAAATATCACCTATACCACACAGGGTAAGCTGAACATTTAGATTTAAGATCATACACAATATTAGCATTAACTTCAACAACTACAGGCAGGGAATTATTTTTTTTTTTTAAGCTGGCAAAGTGACTACTTTAAGAACATCAAACTTTCTCTAAATTGAGAACGTATCCAAATAAAATGCTGCTAGCCCTTTCCAGATAAAGCCTTTCCTTTGACTAACCACACTCATTCAAGTCAAAAGCGTAAGACAGCATTTAAGAACAATTTATATTACAACATGACTAAAATATGACATAATCCAGGTTTAAACATGATTTCATAGGCAAACAAAAGGAGATTCTTCTTAAAAACTATTTTTTATAAATGCAGAATATATTGCATGAGGAACTGCTGGTATTTTTTAAGAAAATATATTGTGCGATTGTGGCTACAATGCACTGCTGCAAAGCATTGTTGTTTCCTATAAAAACTATTAAAATAAAAAACTTATTTGAACATAAAGAGTAAGAGAGCACAAGTCTTCCAACTACCTACAAAGAGCAGGATGGAAGTATTGCCAGTTTTTCCTGTGTTGACATTTTACTAATGATAAGTTTTGGTGACCAACTCCCCAGCCAAAAAATAAATATTTTGTTTAAAATCAGGTGCATATTTCAAAGCTGCTATTGCAAGTGTGTTTTAAATGTAATGGACTTAAAAGTGTACGTACCAAAGAATTATAAAAATGCACTATAGTCTGAGTTATTGTTACATAAAGAACATACTAAAAAGACTGTCAAAATAAGTAGAAAGGGGATCAAAACTGAACTAACTGAATTAGTGCAGTACTGTAGCCAGGCTTCTAAAATCAGATATAGAAAATATAAATAGACTGCTTTAGGTGATGATTCACCAGTGTCCAAAAAAAGGAACAAGTATTGTGAAAGCTCAGTTAACTTGATCCAGAGCTCTGAGCAGTTCTTCACCCTGTAGCAGGTTTCTGTTGCCTTGTATGGGAGCGTTTACTTCGCAATCGTAACTTGTGAGTTGGGGTAGTCCACTTTCATCCATTGACTGCCCTAGAAGTTTACTTGCTATGTCTAAAGAGGGACGGGAAGGAGAAAAAGTGCACTTTATTCACCATGTTTAACCTTTCCTCCAAAATTGTTCATAAGTAAGTTTGGATATGGTTTTATCACTCAGTTCTTTCACACAGCCCCCCTCCACCCCCCTCTACGTATTAAAAGAAGTTACTAACCAGTTGATAATAGAATGATTGTCTTTTGCTCCACTCCATTATGACCATTTGTTTTGCATCCCTTTACACGTTTCCAAGCAATTGATGCATTTCCTCCACGGTCACCTGTCTGCTGGAATAAAGACCCCTAGAAAGAAATAAAATAAATCTGCTTTATTGAATACTGTATCTTTCTAGCCCTCCACGTCCCTCTTCCAAACCAACAGCTCCTATCACTAATGACTAATGTAGGCATTGTTAGAATTTAAAGTGGACTTCATTCAGAACTTGGGGAGAAATATATTTCCAAGTACACCAACCTTGAAAATTATTTAAAAGAAAACTGAATCAGATTTCAAGATCTTATTTCCCTTACAGAAAACAATTACCAAATCCTGGTTATCATCAGTTACCATGCTAAAGATTAGCATGTACATGTACACATACACACCCATTTAATTACCACTGCTCTTGTGTAAGTGAGCACCAGGTTTTCACTGAAGTCTCTAATGTTTTCCTGCACTGGAATTAATAGCATAGACAGGAGATTCAGGAACCTCGGTAGGTTGGTTCTATCTAAATTTAAGATGTAAATTCTGCTTGCACTCCAGTTATTGCCACCAAGCCATCTGACCTAAGTCTCACGGGGAACGCAGTCCTAAGCCATTCTATTGCAGATATGGCTCCTTAGCATATTGTTTTGACAGCAGCATAGAAGATATGGAAATTAGAAAGCTTTTAAGGGCTCCATATAACTGGGATAAGTAAGAGGAAGCTGCCACTGAAACAGATGAGGTGGAAGGAAAAACACACCATCCTAGAATCAAGTTTGCTAGCAAAAGTAGTTGAATCTGCAGAGTTTTGTCTTGTTAGTAGTACTGACTGCTGCAAAAAGAGGAAAAGGTATTTCAGAATGCTGCCATTATCCTGAACACTTAAAACAGTAAAGAACATGTATTTTCAGGTTATAAAACATCCATGCAAGTCAAAAGGACAGTTGTGTAATAGTAGTTGAACAACTCTGACTTAGAAGCTGCATTTCATAGTAAGGTCAGTCACCTATGTTGTTGCTGGTTTACTTTTTTTACTGGGAATGCAATACAGCCCTTCACATTAAGAAAGGTCTATCTCATATCTTTTTCAATGTAATGATTCGAATCATTATTTTGTAATGTTACTGTAACACATCTTGTCCTTGTCCAATTCTCCTGTTTTCTAAAAAGCTAAAGTAATATTTTACTTTGGCCTTCACTTATTTTCACTCTCTGCAAAATAAATCCCGCTTCCTTACAGCTAAGAAGTTGTGGCAAGTTTTTGCACAATCCCAGAATACCATGTATTGTAAGCCTCGATTTAACATCGGTTTTCTTCTGTGCACGTGCAATGCCTAGTTCATCCTCTCAGAAATCCATTGTGGAGAAAGAAGCCAAACAACAAAAGTACTTGCTTGAAATAACATCAGTAAGACCCAGCTACACGGAAATTTCAGCTTCCGACTGTGCAGAAACCATCAAAATATTTATAACACTTTTGTCAGAGAAAAAAGAAAAAAGGTTTAGCAAAGGATGAAATTTGAACCTATAAGCATTAAAAAGTCACTAAGCATAGAGCCTGAACACTGTTACAGCAGTTCCTACAGAATTGCTTGTGTTCTGTGTATTTAATGACATCCCATGCTATTTTGAATACTTTATCAGCAACACTATATGACAGCTGTAGCACCATTGCATGAAAAAAAGGCAATGGAAGGCAATAAAATTTCTTGCAGAGCTGTGAATTCTTACAGGGCTACTGGAAGCAACAGAACAACATGCATGAAATTGCAAAGCATTTAGCAAATGAAAACAATGGCATAAGTATGATTTTTTTTTTTTTTAATAAAGTCTGCTTGCCTCAGAAAAAAAAATGGACATATAAAAGCTTTCTCAGCTCTTCTAGAGGAGTGCAATGGTAAAGACAGTATACAGTGGTTTGTCTCATGCCCAAACCAGAATGCTAATACAGGAATAATTCATAGTTCAGAAGAAAAAAAATCCTGCACTGTAAGACACAATGAATGACTACACCTAGGAGATGGACCTCTAGAGAAACAAACCATATCAAAAGGGCTACATTGCAGTAAAGAAACTAAGAATTAACCATGCAAAACTTGAGAAGTGGGAATTTGCAAGGAAGGCAAGAAGAGAGATAACAGTATGTAATGGCAAAGCTCAAGATTTCAAAATACTAAGAACTGACAGTAAGATACAAAGATTATGGAGACAAAATACCCTTGCAGAAAATAACAAGCTGGATAGCCCCAATTAAGTGACACAAATCTAAGAATACCTAAAAAGTTTCTTTTGAATAGCTAGGAGAAATGATGATGAGCTACTTGCAATTGCACACACAGTGTGCATGAAAAGGAGGTGGTAATAATATACATTTGCCAGATTATATGAATTCTCTTCCCTTACGGTTCAGATGTTCTTGTTATCTGATCAGATAAAGGAATCTCAGACTGATGGAAAAATGAAAGCATAGAAAGAAGCATAAGAACACAACCTCTAGTATTGACAAGTATGAAAACTGAGTTTGTATTAAAAAATGAAATAAATATGGCAATTATAAATTTAAATGTGATGTCTTACGCTTGTGCATATTCTACTGAAGAACATGTATGTACACAAAAGAGTATCTTCTACCTAACGAAGAAATGTGATTGGGTATAGAGGGCACTTTCGAAATAGCTGACAGTAAGAGAGAACTAAAATTGGAGTATCTGCACGTATGTAGGAATTTCACTATCGAACAATTATCTCTGATCCCAAGATTCCACTCCATACCAACACCTAAACTCAGGAGTCTGCACTGATGCCTCATTTCAGAAATTGCAAGGTTAAAAGTGAATATTTTAAAATGGTAAAACAAAACTCACAATTCCAACTGCCTGAAAAAGTGAACCATCATGTTCCATTTTTCGTTTTCTCTGAGCATTATGCAAAGCTAGCATCTTTGGATTTAGTTCTTCATCCATTGCAGTAGATCTAAGAAAAATTGATTCAGGCTGTTAAGACGTTTCTACTATCCTCAAGCCATTCTTCTTTTGTGGACACTTATATACAATATCACAGAACTGAATTTATGAACTATACTACTTTTCTTTCATAATCGACTCATTTCAACAATCATTGTCTATGAGCATAGCAAATGTTGGCTTTTAATCTTGCTGTGAAGCTCAGAATGAGTTATAACAAAAATTTTAAGGTCTTTGCAGGAAAAAAAGCATAAAAGTTCAGCAATTCACTTTCAACAGAAAGAAGGGAGGGAAGGGTGAGGAAAAGTCTATTCTGGATATTTATATGCACAGATAAATCTTCAATGTATCAAAAGTCTGATGTTTGACTTTGTGGAGTTTTCTGTCATGATAAATATCTACTACATACACTACAGTCCATCATTATGAAATACAGCTCATTTTAAAAGCAATAAATGTAGCACACAGACTGCAGTCACCTCTTACCTCACAACGAAGTGGCCAAGAAAAGCAGCAGAAATATTGTGTGGGTATAACTACTTGTAAATTGCCTACTGCATTCTTTTTAAAAGGCTGCATGTCAGATACAAGAGCAGAACAAAATTATGAACACAGTTCGCATATAGTAGCTGCCTATTACATAAAATGTTTATGTAAAAGCTACTGCGAAATTAACTTTAGGGAAGCTTACTATGAAAAAAAAAACAAACAACTTGTTTGAAACAGCAACTTCTACCTTGAAGTAGAATTCCAAAGATAACACAACAGTTGGCAATAATTATATCTAATTTCTTGAACAGATACTAGGGCTTAAGCTTTGCTTTTAAAATACCTTTTATTCAGAGTGACTGTTAGCAAACTAGGTGCTCCTGGACTAGATTTTTCCGTCTGATCCAATGTTCCTTTTCCTGCTCTGATTGGAGACGCAGTTCGACTCCTGTTCCCACTGTAAGGTGATGCTGGGGCACTACTTGTTTCATTGATTATGTGGACAGGAGATGAAGGAACAATTAGCGTCTTCACATCATCCACACGTTCTGTCACTGGTTTTATTTCATCAGCAGTACTTGATGGTGTCTGAGTCTGCTGAAATATGGTAATGGCAGCTGCATTTTGAGAGCTGGAAGAACTGCTTTCCAGCGGAGATAGCTGATCAAAGGATCGCAACTGGAAGTCATCATCCATTGGGATGTAAGGAGCCAACATCTCCAAATCTAAATCAGTCTCCTGGAAGAGACGAGAGGTAAAAATTACAAATATGCAAGACTATGCAAGCTATGACTTCATGGCTTCCTTAAGGCTCTTCCTTTTGCCAAATCCTTATAATATTTTTTTCAATTTATTTTAATAAAAATATTATGTAAGAGGAAGGAGGTTCTTGAAGTCCTTCTAAGAGAAAGAGAGGCACATTGAGAATAAGTACTAAGACAACACAGAATTTTAAGTTGATGTACATTACCTGAGTAGAGAATGGATTTTTTGCCTCCGTATCTATTGCAAAGAGTTTCTCCACTAATTCCAGTTTGAATTCGTTAGCCATATCATTATCCACATCAAAGCAGTAGTCATTAGGACTACTGGGCTGTGAAAACATTTTGAGCGCAGTTTTAAGTTTCTGTCATAAACATCATTTTGCATTGTATCTACAGATTATCTGAAAAATGTTCTAATGTGAAAACTAATTCCAAGCTATAGTTGCACAAAATTAAAATGGGAAAAGAAAACACTTACATTTACTGGTATACATTCAAAATTTACCCCACCTGGGAAGCACACAGTTAGCTGGGACCTGGAAGTAGCCTCTACAGTAATTTAGTGAAACTAATTTGCTGTTTAGAGAAGTTGTCTCTGGACCTTTCTTTTCTAGAAAGACCAAGCCCAAGCTCTTCTTATTTCTATCAGGTAGTATTGCACGCATTTGCAAGACTCACTTTAATGAAAAGATAATTCTCAGTACGAAAATTTATCTTTTTCCTCAGATCAGGGCATGAGCTTAGGTCACAACACAGAAATAATTTTCAATGCCTGTCTTGGCTGCATCCTTAACCCGATTTGCTCCACAAGCCCATACATTTTAACAACGGCATATCCAAATGACATAACTAACCTCAGGTGAACTTTGGCTGGTACTTGCATCAGAAGGGCTGGTTGGTTGCTCTTGCACCTGAGGCATGGTAAAAGAAAGTTCGAGTGGCTCTGTGTTTGGCTCCAGCTTTGATACAACTTCTCTATTGAGTGCAGGATCAGCATTGCTACGAAGTGGCTTTGTGGTTTCAGAGGCAGGTAGTGGGGACATTGCCATATTTATATTCTGCAATTTCTCACTGGATGAGGGGAGCATTACATCGTTATACAAAGGAACTTCATCACATTGTTGTTCATCAGACTCTATAAAAATTAAAAGAAACCATCAACCTAAGTAACAATACTGTGTGTGTGTACGGACCTCACTAAATTTAAACAGTGGCTGAAATACCACTCGGCAAGTGATACTGGGAGGTTATTTTTCAAAATTTACTGTAAAATACTAGCTTTACTGATTAGCATGCTCTCCAATTTAAACACACACCCACCATTACTGCTGAAATCTAGAGAGATAATTGTGTCGCCAGCAGCTGGGGCCAGCACAGTTAAAGCATCTGGTTCCTGTTTAAGCTTTTCAAATAGGCTGTTGGTATCATCCAGGTCGTCTTTGCTGAATATTTTGGTCATTTTCATATCAGGAGACTCCACGGGTTTCAGCATACACTCAGTTTGTCCCAGGGAAAAAATCAAGTCCTTCTGAACAATTCCACTGTCAGACAGAGAGGAAGATGACTGTTAAGGAATAGCTAAAAGGAATAAATTTAGGCTTAACAGTTTTGTAAGTTGAAAACAAACAAACAAAAAAGCAACCCAAAAGCACCAGACACACACCACAAAATTGCCAAGACAGGAGCTTTAAGAATTCTTTTTTTCTTACTCATTCTTTCCTCAAACGTAACAGACGAAGCAAGCACTAATTGTGGTGCCACCAAAAAAAGTAACAAAAATGAACATGTTTGTCTGAAAGCATTGAGAAAGTAAGTTAAAAAAAAGTTGAAAAGATGTACTGCCATCAGAATCTGACTTTGTCTTCCCAACAAAAATGATGACAAAGAATAGCCATGTCCACTCGACTTACCTCAACACATAGTTTACGCACACTATGCACTGTGGCTGAGAATTCTTAGTGTTGTATATAACAGTTGCTTGAGTTTCAACCCAGACATAGCCACCTTGTTTAGCAAGCATTCTGTACTGTCCTGTCGTCACCTGCCCTTTTGTGAACACTAAAAGCAGAAAGGACACCAGCTTTAATACAGGCAGGAAAAAAAACCCCAAAACCATTTAAGATAAGTATTCACTGCAGATTCATATCTGCAATTCAAATAAAGCCCTTGTTCTTCTGCTGCTTTGCAGAGGAACAGTCCTGTATCTTTGATCCTGTATCTTTTGTAGTTGGAGGGCTTTAAATACATCTTTTACACTTACTGTCGTGGTGCGTTTTGGTCAGATGATCAGAATCCAGTGCATGATAGTACTCATAGATTGAGCGACCCAGGAGTTCTTCTGGCTCATACCCCATCAACTCTGTAATTCTTTAAAACAAGGGAAAAAAATTGCTACGTAAAAGCAGACACGGACTAGCACAAATACTAGAGCATTTGGATGCTGGCATATTTAGAAAAATCCTAAGACTCACTTCCATACACATTAGCAGCAATTTTGGTTTACTGGAAGTTTTCCTTTTGAAACAAATTGCTCTTGTTCATGCTTCTTTAGAAGAGGAATTTCAGCAGGCATAGGATTTTACTTCTCACTGGCTATCAATAAATCATGTCCTGTGGTGGACAGGATTAAGCAAATCCCTGTGTTCTAGACTTTTTTTTTTTTGCTTAAAGGTTGACTAGCTACTTATGGACTAGCATATCCAGCTAACGCAAACATGAGAATCTAATAAAATAACAAAGACATACTTCAACAGTTTTAAACCTGCAACTAAGAGAAATTAGGAATCAGATTTATTCTTCCCACTCAACCCCTGCCAGTTTTTAGAGAAAACAGTATTTTCTTCAGCCCCTAGAGGGCAGCGCTAACCAGGGGCATGCACTGATTCCGCCCTATTCTACAGGCAGAATGTGACCAAATAAGTGCCTTTTACGGGACACCATCAATCCTAGAAAGGTGGTTACTGCAGAGGACAGAAAATAACCTGCACTAACGTCTCTTTGCATCTGACTGCAGCAACTCATTAGAAATTTGTTTTTGTTATAGAGTAAAGGAAACAGGCAGTAACAAATAATACCCAACTAAAACCACAAAAAACCCAAACCCTAAAAACAAAAAACCTCAGGCCAATGATTTCCTTCACTTCTGTTCTTCAAATTTGTCAAGCTAAGTTTCCAGAGGATAGCATGAGCAGTCATATATTTGACCACACCTCCGATTTGTACCAGAACACAAAATCTCATTTTCAACAGCAAATGTATTGCATTAAAGTGCAGCTGAACTTTTGGGGGGTTTTTGGACTGGAGAAAGCAGACACTGATCTCCTGAGGAAGGGAGAGGGGGGGAAGCGGTAGAAAATAAAATGCATCTGACAAGTATTACACACACACTCTTTTCAGTCACCAAAATGCACCACCATCTTCAACAAACCTAAAATCCTTCCTGCTTTTTCAGTGTTTGGAAGAGTCTTCTCATTTCAAATCAATCACTGCCACTACACTAAAGACCAGTTTGAACAGGCAGTTAACTGCAGGCAAAGGATTTTTTCCAAAGTAATAACCGTGCGCCCTCCTTAAGTTTAAAAATCTGGCTTTTAAATAAGACATCCTGATCAGTTAGTAAAAGCCAAAGTATCTCACCAATGATTCCATTGCACAGATGAATCAAGTTAACGAGTAAGACTATGTAAATGTGTAAGGCCAACATTAGCCAACATGTACCAAGCCTGCAAATCCTTCAAATGAATTCTTTTTTAAAGTACAAAATATATATTACCTTTCATCACAATAGGAAAATTTCATATCAAGACTGTGACGACTGAGGAACGTTTTACTGTCCAAGGGGACCTCAATATTTGATGGATGAGGAATAGGTTCACAGATCAACACCAGACATGTCATGGGAGGCTTTTTGTAGCCACAGTGAGTTTGGTTACCGCATGTGTCGTATACACGAATGTGTCCAGTGCAGTGGAGTACCTACAGGAAAGTTGTATTTTAAAAAAGAGACTAGGTTCTTGTCTGTCCAACAACATAATCGTATTTCCACTAGCACACCCTGAGCAAAGTCCTTCCCCTCCCCACCCCTCAACATGATAGCAACAACAGAAAGGCAGCAGTGCTTTCAGATGGATGGGTAAAGGAGAGCAGCAGTTCTCCTCCTCACGCCCGCAGACTGCGAAGAGTACACAGAATAGCAACTCTTTCGTCTCGGGCGTGGGCTGAAGCAACACTAGACATTTCTGCATTTCTGTGAACTGTTCTTCTTTAAAAGTTACATTAATGATGACACTGATAAGCAATTGCCTCAGCAAAAGGTATCTTACTATTTAAATTTGAAAGTTATGGTAATAGTAGCAATTTCCACTTTAGGTCTTCTGCAGAAGTGACGTTAGAGATCAAACATATTCTTCAAGAGACCGGAAGTTTTGCATTTTGTGTTTGTTTTTTTTTTTTTTTAACCATTCTGAAGTAGAAATTGTTCACAGACAGCTGCAAAGAAAGAACCTGCTTGATCCAGAATGACTAAAATTAAGTTATAAAAGACAATTGTGAGCCATAATACCACTCGATACAGTAAAAGGTTACTTTTTGTCCAGAGGAGAAAATGCATTCACTGCAGAAAGTTATCAGGCTGGGCTCTTTTTGTTCCCACTGTTACAAAAGGGATAGCCAGCAGCTTCAGAAAAAATGGTATTGAAGTCCTTCAGAGAGACCTCAACTGTCACGTTTACAGTGTCAAATCAAAAGAAATCGGGTATCAGCATAAGTGGTGTCAAGTATTTTTTTTCCCTCAGAGAAGGCTTTATGCAAACATAGTTAGTAATTATAATTTCTAGTAAGTAAATGACCCCTAATTTAAAATGGAGAATTCATTAAGAGTTTTGAAAAGCTAATTTTAAAATATTGTTTTAGTTACCTCTGTGATGTATTCACCATTAAAATTCAGCATGTTGAAGCACAATCATTAAATTAGTTAAGTACTTAGTGAAACTCAACCTCGTCACATGAAGTAAAAATGCTGAAATATCGTGTTATGACATCTGAAGAAGCAGCTGCCAAACTACGTAAATATTCCTTTGCATTAGTTACCTTCCACGTAGCAGACTTTATATTCACTGTTCTTCCCCTGCTAGTCAGTGTACACTTCATTCTGAGAAAAAAGCTGCGCTCCGTGTTTTGCTCTTTGCCCTTTTTCACAGGACCTAGCAAAAGCAAATAGTAAACCAATTCTTTAGCTCTTGGATAACTTCTTTTTTTAATGCCTTTGGAAGGTTAAAGAACTCTAAGACTAGAGAAGGACCCAAAAATAAAAGAAAAGTATTGATAAACCTAGCATCACTTTCAATAACAACACTTTTCAGAATGAGTTTTACTGTGAGGTAAGCAAAAAACTACTGTTTCAATCTTTTCAGATCAGCATTGTATTTGTAGCCAATTCCACACTCCCAGCTTTCAGGAAAAAGGGGTGAGGAGAAAGAGACTGACTGAAAATTTAATGTATTTTAAAATTGTGACAGTTGACCAGAAAAGCATGTGCAGAACGAGAAGTATTGTTGAGTTGGTTTCCATTGAAATGCACTGGTAACTCACTGCTGGGAAGTTCAAATCAAGTAAGTTTTGGGCCTGTAGTACTTTAAGTTTTTCAATTCAGAATTAACAACTCCACTGCTTACATGCCTCTGAATATTTCCACAGTGATTTACACTCTTAGAGTAAACAAGGACCAAGTTTTGACAGACATTATTAGCATTCTTGGGGGCAGGGGGGGAGGTCAAGAAATCCCAATACAAATTAGTATTAGTGGCACTAATTTTTTAGCCTTACTTCCTAGAGGCAGGCTTTACATTAAGTTTTTGCCTTTACAGGCGAGAACCTTTCAGAGTCGATTACTAGCTAGGCTATTCTGGGCAAAGAAAATGCAAACTGATCCTATCAGGAGAGCTGCAAGCAGCTCGCTGTGTGCGGAAGAAGGAAATAAAGCACCTAGGATAAAGACCTATCCTGGAAGAGCGAGTTTGCCAACGCATGCTAGGGAGTGAGGACCAAATCATGGCAGAGGGTGGAAGTTCATGTGAGCTTACTTCTGATACAAGTTTATACAATAATTTGTTCTCATCCTCCACAGACAATAGTAGCTATGAAATTCTTCATGGTGGCTTGCACTACAGCTACTAGTTTGACAAAATTCATTAGAAAAACATTAAAGCCCCTATGCTACATTGTCTATTGCTTCTAGCACAGGCAAAGACCAACAGGGACAAGCCTACTTTATGTCACATCAAAATATCCTCAATAAAGGGTGGGGTGGGGTGGGGGTGTTGAGAAAAATAAAGAAGAGTTCACAGAGGCAGCCAAAACTTATTTAATTCAGTATGTTTTTAAAAGAGTTAAACCAATCTAGAAATTCATAGTTGAAGATCACACGACATTATTATTACAAAGTCCTGATGCTTAAGGCTTTGCTCCAAGAAGCAACTGTGAAAGATGGAGCAACTTTCTCAAGTCTGATTCAGCATCGGACAGTATTTAAGATCACCAACTTTTAAAGTTTAAAAAGCAACTTCGTAAAATCAGAATGCAGTTCAGTTTCTGCCAATCACATTTATATTCATTTGCACCTGTACAATGCCAAAGGGGAGTATTTAATACTCAATTCAAAACCAAAATAGTTCCACTGATATAACAGCTGCAGTGGAATGCAACCTGGGAATACTAATAAATGTAAAAATGTGCTATTATTACTGTAATTTAGACTTTTGTCTGCAAACTTCATTTGCAAAACAGATTTTGTAATAATGCTTTCCAGACATCTTTGACCAGACTGGTCAGTGTAGACATGCTAGAGTTGGTTTGCATGAAATTCAGTACTATGACATTTTTAAGAATAAGCTTTTGCAGCAAGATCAGTTTTTACACTGCCTTAGTGAAGTTGTTTCCCCATCACCCCCCCAGATGCGTTACTGTATTCCAAAGCAGAGGCGAAGTCTAATCTAGCCTTAGAAACATACCTTAAATACTAAGGGCAGACAAGTTCAGAAAATGCTTACAAAATCAAAGTCAGGCCCTTCATGCTACGATATCTTATCAAGTCTCTTCCACTGAATTAAACAGAATGACAACATAAAAGACTTCTGATGCACACTGCTACATGAAAGCAGAGGTCAGGCTTGGCAATTTATCACTATCGAGATTCAGAGTCCATATAACCCTTGTTTGATGAAACAGGAATTACAGAGGTCAAATTTTAAGCTTCTAACAACTGAGTAAAGCAGATTTGTTTAGAGGCATGCAGGCTGCCAAGTCTTTATAGTCATTAACAAACCTTTAGAAGACATAAAGGCAGTAATTCATGGGCATCTGTTAAAATCAAAAGCATACAGAAGCATACAGAATATGTGAACAGAGTGTTCTACTCCCTCGGATGGAGAAAAGAAGAGTCAGAAATCTGTGAAAAGATACCAATTTCATGCACCAATTAAAAAGTGCAGAGAAGCATCAATCTCAAAGCCCTGTTTAGGGCTGTCCAAGTATTCCCCAGTTAGTTTTTCTGTGTCCTAAATATACTTAAGACACAAAAAAAGATACTATATGTCTTGGTTTGGCTAAAACAGGACTATTTCTCCTTTCAGTAGAGTTTTTCATTCTGTTAAGTTTCTTCTAAGTAACTGCACTTTCTGAAGTTGGCTACATGTTTTTCAAACAGTGTCTGCTTTCAGAACTGATAACACTTGATGTTTATAGTTGTTACTAAAGTAACAGTAGGATTGGTATGCAGAAAGGCCCATGTTTGTACTTATTCCTAGGGGAACCAAGGTCACTGCTGGCTTTCTTATGTTGCACAAGAGAAAACAAGTAAAAGGGTCACACCTGCAGGAAGTGCAGACAGGACAGCTGACCAAAAACTGACCAAAGTATTCCATCCCATACACGTCAGACTCGGTATAAACTAAGGGATCATGGGAGTCAACCTTATCTTTCATGGCTGGTATCCCTGTGGTACTCTGCTCATTCCCCTGCCTCTGTTCCTGATCCACATATTCCTGAATCTGGTTCCCGTCTGCTGCCGTGTCCAGTCCCGGACACACGGGTGCCTGCCCTGCTGCGTCAGCAGTGTGAGCTGCTGCGGCTTGCAATTCAGTCATCATCATTGGGAAGCTCAATACTGGTTTTGTATATTTTTTATTTCTATTATTAGTGGTATTAGTATTGATTACTATTATACCCTTTTTCATTGTTATTATTTCATTAAAGTAGTTTTAATTTTCCAACCCATAAGTCTCTCTCCCTTTTCTCCTTTCCTTTACCTTCTGGGGAAGGAAGGGGTTAATAGAGAGCATCTGCCATCCACTTTAAGTGCCAGCCCAGCCTTAAGTGGTGACAGTATACCACCACAGATTCTGGAAGAAAGCATTTGCTTTTAAGTTGTCCTGTAAAGGCAAGCCCAGACCAAGACAAATGCACCAATTTAACTTCTCCATATCCTTCTATGCCAATCACTTAAGATGGTTCTCATTCAACTTACTTCTAATTTTATTTCTGTAGACATGCTAATTCCTTCCACCCTCAATGACTCCATTTTAGTCATTAATTTTGTTTTAGAATAAAGAGTACTAACAAAGTCTCATCTCTCCTACAATTAGGATATTGCCAAACATTCTGGTTATTTCTGTTGCTAGTATCTCTGAACAAGCAGCAAAATAGACTAGTTTGTTCTCTCAACACCTTTTTCTGGCAGATATCCAACTGTACTAATGCCAACAGGAACTATCCATAGGTAAATTAAATCGATTTTTTTTTTCTTCTCACCATTTCTGTGTGTAAGCATTTCTCTCAGCTCTTCATGGTCACACGGATGAGTGAAGTCAAATACACTGTGCCCCGTCAACTCAAACTGAAAAAAAAATAAGAGGTACATGGGTGTCTAACTTTACATATACAAAAATGTAACAACTTTTACAGACTTGCAACAGTCTTAGGAAATGTCAATATTTCACCTGAGTGAGTCCCATACACTTGTTCACGTTTTCAGACATGTAAATCATGTCCCCATCTTCAGACAGAACCATGACAAATCCATCAAGAGCTTTCAAGTAGAAACAGTTCAGTTCCTTCTCCATTTTAGCTTCTGTCTCCAGCTCACCTACAAGCAGCCACACATTTTCATTTAAGTAAACATCAGCCATTCTTCACTTACCATCAGAAATTACTTCTGGCACCACTCTGCAAGGAGTGCGGGAGTGTTCAAAACCAGTATAATTCACTTAGATAAGTGATCAAATACATTCTTCTAGCTCTAGTAATGGTATCACAAATCACAGAAAATCAGTGAGGTTAAACCTCTGTGTTTTTATGCATAAACCAATAAACCTCCCACCTTAAGAAAAAAGTCTACATAAGGAGAAACTCTTACAGTTAGCTAAGCCAGCCTTGCACCAACCACCTACAGTTTAGTAAAGCACAGTTGCAGGAACCAACTCGGGGTGGGGGGGGTGGGGGCGGGAAAGAGGGTTAAATGAAAAAAATTAACTTTGGGAGAAGGGTCAAATAGCTAAGACTGAAAATGGCCACTGTGATGAGCCAACTGGGATCATCAGAACAGAAAAAGAAAAACAAAGTCCATTGAACAATGGCCATATTTTCCCTATGCCATCACCAATAGTCTATGTCTATTATAAGGTCTTCCACTTTTCCATAGAAAAGATGTAACTATTAATGTATTCATTTAACTGCTGGTAGGTTTTAGAAGTAGCTTCTTCCTCAGTGTAACTCCAGTCCCGTTTCCATATTCTGCTACATTATTCACTTACCAGCATCTAGCAGCTTTCTCATGCGCAGGTAGCTGATGGTCAGTCTCATAATGGATGCCTTGTCCAGGTGTGCGCTCACGGTGTGCGGCAGGGGCAGTTGGTGAGCAAGCTCATAGAATACTTCCGATTCCTTGCTTCTTCGACACCGGGCTGCATCTCTTGACTTCTCTTTTCTGCGTTCTGAGCTAATCCTATATAAACAAAGTTTGGAGTTAATATAGGAAACAGAGTTCTCTGTGCAAGTTAAATTTGAAACTAAGCTGCGCAGTACCCAATTAACCAGTTAAAGTTGAACAATTTAAAGCCCCAGCTTGGAAGTATAAATGTAATTGTGTAGAGTTCTGTCATGGTTGGGCTCTGCCAGAACTAAATTCAAACCCACAGAGTCTTCCAACAAGATCAGTTCTTCAGACATCTGAATACTGAGAACCAATACCAAAGTACTTATCTCGTACCTTGACTACTGCCTCTCTCACCCCCAAATCCTGTTTCCTTCCTCTTTCCTAACCCCTTAAGCCCGTTCAAAGTACTACAGCGTAATTTATTTCCAGCTCGATGCTCCAGTAGTATTGTGTACACTCTCCAAGTTCTTTCCTTTTTACCATCCTTACAAAGCCCACCTTCCAGGTCTGATAAGCAAGGATATTGATTTAGCATGAGGTGTCCTGCTTTTCAAGAGATCCAAAAAGTTCCTTTCCCAGCTCTCCTTCTCCAGTACAGTCCCTTCCACAGTCTCCCCTATCCTGGAAAACTTCAGCTGTTAAGAAGCTGCCTTATTCTCCTTCCATTGTCTCTGTTAGACTTGTCCGCCCCAGGACACATGAAGTAAAGGACAGCTCACTAAGAGCAAGTATCGAAACAACCCAGACTCTCCATCAGTCGGTAACACGGATAAATCTCCCTTTTCCCAGCACCCACACTGGTTCGCATTTGTCTCATGTATCTGTCACATGAGATTTGAACTAAACATTTTGAGATGGGAGCTCCAAATTTTTCATACATTTGAAAAAGAACTCAATGCTGGTGTCGTTCCCAAGGAAATTACGGCACTGCAGTTAAATGTGCTTTTGTTTTTAAATGGACAATACAAAAGCATACAATATTACTGTCCATTTCTCTTTTTATACATTCATGTCTTCTGAAGGCACCCCATCTTCATTTTGCATACACCTGACATACAAAAGGCAGCTGCCTGAGGATTCCCTTTTTTCCACTGACTTTCATGTAAGTTGTTAAGACAAACACATGCCTATAAATACTGCTTTTATAATTCAAAGTTGCATGCCTTTTAATGTTATCACATAAAGAGATTTAAGTGTCACTTGTTGAAAAAGACAGAAAATAAACCCCTGCATTATTAACGACCAACAGTTTAGGAATTACTTTTTCAAATTTCACTAGACTTAAAAGTCATGCACTACCACTGCCAAAAAAACAGTCTGCAGATCTGTGCAAAAGCACTTTTTAATTAGCACACATCTTGAGAGGTAACACAAATGACAGAGGAAAGTGATTCACAAGCTGATATTGCCTGGGAAATAATGAACCAGATTCAACATAAGCAGTCAAATACATACCCCAAAAGAACATGTTTTCAGTCCTTTACCTGATGTGCTACCCACAATAGCCAAAAACCCGCTTAGTTTGTGCAAAAATGTGCAAGTGACTATATTATTAAGGCTGATGTTGGAAGCATGAATGCCTTAAAACACAAAAGAAGTTTAATAAACTGTGATAAAGACAAAGTAAGCCATCAGAACAGCTTCATTTTTTCCAGCTTCATAAAACTGTACGACATCCCCATCCATCCCCAACCCCACCATCCTCTCCCCCTACCCCCTGCCACTGCCAGCAGAAGGAAGCGCTAGAAGCTTGATTTTCAGAATCAAAAGTTTTATAAGAGCTGAAGATAGGATTATGTTGTCTCCTTTGGTGGCAGAGTCAAGCTACTAGATCATAGAAATTCTACTTCTATGTAATGAGAAACGTTACTAAATCAACATAATAGTAACAGAGATCTTTGGAAAACTAACTTATGGGCATGACAATTGTAAAAAATTCCAGACATACAATAGTTCTATCAGTTTCTGTGAACATAAGCTCATGTTCCTCAGAGAGGTAGTCTAAAATATCTGATATTTCCCATCTCGCAGATTTCCTCACATTCAATTTCCCTGTGACAACCGATGTTCCTGCTCTAGTCATGGATATCTTGGTCTGAGAAGCTTGAGGCTCCCGATATACAGGTATATCCAGAAACAGCCAGTACAGTCAGAGAAGTCTGACCTTTAACAATACTGAAAAAAATATTTTAGCTATATAACCTGATTGATTAAAGATTTCTTACTGAAGATAAGCCTCAAGTACCTCTTCTCTTGGTAGAAGACTAAGGGTGGAGGTGAAAAAGTATCTGGGTTCTCTTTGTCCTCTCTGTCTTGTATCACAGATTTCACTGACAAAGGTAACCACAAGTAATTATGCTGCCTTACACAGTTTCACCTTTGTATCTCTGATTTTTATACCTCTGATTTTTCTTTGTTAGCTACTCATTCAAGATCCCTTCACCTGCAGAAAGTTCATCCTACAATAGAAACTCAAGGGAGAATTACTAGAAGTAATTGGTTTCCATCTGCCTAGGTGCCTGCAGTTTTATCACGGCTTCCTTTTCAACTGCAGACACTTTTAAGTTCAAAACCCCATGCTTTGGCAATAACGTTGTGCACTTCAAGTCTTCAAGAAAGAGATGAAAATAGACACTGACCTCACAAGCTGCGATTTCAGCCCTTTCCCTTGTATTTTCTTTCTGAAAGCTTAATGTTCGCGAAAATATTTCAGCCAGTTTCTAGATTTTTGCCTGGTTTTAGCACGCTTAGCAGCGGACTTCAACGTGAACAGTCAAAACTTCTCACAACCACTGAATTATTAATTACCTACTGAAATATTGCTCAAATCAAGCTCATAGCAATTCTGTTAAAAATTAATTCTCAAGTAAGAGAATCAAGTGCTGCCTGCTGGAGCACTCCCTGACTTTGCAGTGGGCAAAAGTCAAGAAAGAGTGCAATGTTGGTACCAACTGGTGCTGTCCGAGCCGCAGAGTCTCCTCTCCCTCTTACTAGGCATTTCCTTTCTAGAAAGGCTACTACTATAGATAGATATTTAAACTGTACAGCACAACAGTTTGCTATTTTTAGCTGCTGTTTAAAACTAAGCTGTAACCAATCTGAGTAAAACCCAGCAATTTAAATAGGAAGATTAACTACCAGCTTCAAAGAAGGTTTCTTTAATGGATCAGATTAATAGGGAAAAGGTCTTTCACAAATGAGGTTTAATTACCAAGCGAAGTCAGAGTTGCCTCAACATGGGATGCCACCAAATAAAAAAAGGTAAAAAAAAATCCTTTACTCTTGCAACTACTCTACGCTTTGTTACTTACAGTTGCATAAAGTCAATGAAAAAAACCCCACACAATCAGCGTGTGTAGCTGCCCACAAATTTCTGTGTAGTCAATTAAAGGATGTTGAGTTCCTGTAAATAAAATATATTTCCTAAGTGAGCTTGCTTTCAACTAGTGGGGGAAAAAAAAGAAGGGAACTCAAGGAAGAGGACTTTAAACAGCGAGACATGAATTGCCACAAAATCAGCTTAAATAAATTGTATCATTTAAGAGATAATTTCAGCACAGCCCATGTGTAAAACTCATGGTGTTCATAACAAGAACAGCATTCTGTAGAGACAACAGGAAGCTGAGCTCCATTTAAAACCAACCCCAAACTTAGGAACTGTATTGCAACCTTCTGCTATTAGCCTTGCATGAAGGAAAATCACCTAAAGACTCAGAAGAAAGTCTCAGCTGAAGAGTGGATTGAGAGCAATGAAAATATCAGAAATGCCGGTGCTAGACAGGAAATTGCATAAATTTTCAGGTATGACGTTTCCTGAACAACTTCGGTGCCAGACATTCATTTCCATTTTGTATTTCTGCCACCAGAACACAGAAGCAGAGAGCGATGCAAAGCAGGTTATGCATCATACCTCACAAAAAGTAGTGTTTCGTTTACAGTTTTAAACCCAATACTAGGCACTTTTTATATGTAAGAGATGTTTACATGCAATAGCTGAATAAACATCTGAGTTCTAAAAGTTATTTGAGTTAGAGACCCAGAGCAACAAGGTATTTCAACCCCAGGATTCACTGCAGCTGAACCAAGAGCTCGGCTGAAGGATATTACCCAGGCTCCCACTCACTGCCCCAAATCAAAAAGGCGTTAAAACACAGCAAGGCGAATACAAAGTTTTATAGCAAGCAAGAATTGGCCCAACAGCCTTCAGAACAAAGCACACCAGCAGCAATCCCATGCGCACCAGTTACAGATGTGAACACAGCCTCTCTACTCAAATATGCAACTCCTGTCATTATGGTCCTACGAACCATCTGGGCCAGAGCATCTCTCAAACGATATATTGTTCCCCATACCATCCCAAAGACCCCTCTGCCCACCACTGCACATTTCTACAAGTGATTCCCCAATTGTCCAAATATAGCCCACAGTTTTCATCTCCCTGAGTGTAAAACTAATCAATGGCCGTATTTACAGCTGACTTGTTCCTGCTTATTTATCACTGGCAAATAAGACCAAAAAGAACCCTGGAAAATACATCAGTAACTGATAAGTTTCAATTAAAAATAACTCGATTCAAAACAGTCAATGGACAGGTATTAAAACATGTAGCATGTCAACTTTGTCTCCTTCTAGCTTTTTAAATTACCACACAGTGTTAAGGAAAATTTTACGTTGTGTACACAATATTACATTAACACAAGAAATCAGGTGTTTTCCTGTACATTGCTTTACTGCTGTTATCTATTTTCTAGCCTTTCTCCTATTCTAACTTACTGTTTATCCAATCAGGTAGATTTTGCCCTATAGGTGTTTTCAATTCCCATTTGAAATAGCTATTGTGCATGTATTAATTAACCCAGGCTCATCTTTCTTGATCCAGGTTTTGAAAACATTCTAAAAAAATAAGCATCTTCTGACAGCAATTCACATTTTTCTCTCTAGAATAGTTTTCTACATGGAGTGGCTTTGTATTTATCACCGTACCCATTCTTAAAACAGTTTCACAGAAGTATACAACGTGCAACCAATATAATCCAAATGAATAACGTGCCTCAAATCTGGTAACATCT